ACCTCCACCTCTCTGGGAAGGAGAGTGGGGGTGGGCGACAGAGCGGCCCAGCCCCCGCAGCCTCTCTGGGTGTCCTTCCTCACTCCTCCAGTGGGGGGCAGAGGCGGGCCACGCCACGTGATTGACAGCGGAGCCTGAACCAAGCACAGCAGCGATGTTCAACCTTCTTCCCCTGACGGCATGTACACAGACCGAGTACCCCCATTCTGCAGCACACCAAGAAATACGCATACTCTGCCTGTCTGACAGGAAACAGGTGTGCCTTTGATCCACTCACCGCAGACAGCCGTGGTTGTGTTGGCTGCCGTCATTGTTACTTTCTACCCGACGACGGTCGGTCTAGGGGAAGAGGAGAGTGCCCTGACTACACAGGCAGGCAGCGCGTGTGTCAGAGAGTCTGTGGCGCAGCAGCTGAAAGTCGCTGGGCTGCGGCGTGTCTCGTGGACGGGAGCGCTAGGGCCCAGAGCCGGGCGCGGCACCTCGATCTCGTCAGCACGCCCACAGGAGGGGACGACGCCGGCACCACTGCACCGGCGGACGAGAGGGGGCGGCTCGGGGAGTGGATGCAACCTCGAGGCCGGTGACGACGCGCTGCGCCGTGTCACCCCCGAGCGGCAGAGCGAGGCGGGGACATTGCGGCACCCGGTGCAGAGACGCCGTGAGCAACCAGCGACGGCAAACACACCTGGGGATGGGAGCAAGGGTAGGGGGAGCCCTTGAGTCCTGGACTGACGAGGACGGCTGATGCTGTTTCTGTGCAGGACGGGTGGGCGTTTGCACAGGCTGCTGGGACTGCCGTTTTCTCGGGTGCCCCCCCCCATCAGTCAGGGGTCTGCTTCTTCGTTTCCCCCGGCTTCCTGGGGAGGTAATTGACACACGACACTGCAACATTGTGTAAGTGTAAGGGGTACAGCGGGCTGGTTTGATACATATAAAAATGTCTCCCACGTGAATTTAGTTAGTCACCTCCGTCACTGCACCCACTTATTCAGTGTGTGGGGGCCGGGGGGGCGGGGAGACCAGCCTATTTCTGACGGAGGCCCCCTGGGACAATGACTGAGCTCTCAGTGCGCCATGCTGTGCTCATCTCCTTACCGGTTCCTTTCTGTAAACAACTGGGTTTGGGGGTTCTGGGCAAAGGAAGCGGCAGCTCGCAAATGCAAGTTCCAGAGCCGGCCCTGACCTACGACGGAGACGTCCCCCAGGCCCGCAGGCAGAGTTGGCTGTGCTGTGTGTGCGGGCCGCGCTCTGCGAACAATGGCATTTGTCGCACTCTCCGTCTTCACAGTGCGCTCTAAAAAAGGTCAAAGCAACGGTTCCTCCAGTGGGCACCCTTACGATTATTCACAGCTGGGCTGCAGCCCAGGGCAGAGGGGAATGGGGCCGGGGCGACAGGCAGCCTGCACTGAGTCCGCACCACGGGCTTTCAGTCCGTCTCCACCAAGGCTGATACCGTGGCGGAAGCGTCCTGCTGGTTTGGGGTCTCCCGTGCGACTGGAAAGTATCGATGTGCAGTTTTGTTAACAAAGATTGTGGAGCAAGACTTCGACCTTGGGTAGCCATTGGTCCTTCCTTCGGCAGGTTAGGTTTCTGAAGCATATGGGGGCAGTGTCCGTGTTTTCGCACAGCTCACTGGGGTCGGCGTTCCCCGGGGTCGCTCCCTCCGGGTGTTTGGAGACACTCCCCAGAAAAGCACTTCACGGAAGGAAACCGTTCCCAACCACGGAGAGCAGACGGTTGGGGCGGGGGTGGGGGGGGAGCCTCTGTCCCGGACAAGGCCCCTCGGCTGGGCCCAGACCCCGGGGAGGCCCCGGGGGAGGCGGCCCGTGGGTTTGGGGCTGAAGTTCCCTTCCTGGGAGGCGGGTGTGGTAGGCAGACTTGGCGACAGCCACAGACTCAATTTTAATGGTTTTACTCTGCTTTGAGTGCAGTGAGGTAGAAACTGGCCTGAGTAGCCCAGGCGGTGCCTCTGTCCCCAGCTCCCCGCTTAGATGGCCGAACTTCGCACCGCAGGGCGCCGCGCAGAGGAACAGTGGGGCTGCACGGCGCTCCTCGCCGACACCCTGCAAACACCCCCCCCCCAGCCCCCAGCCCCGAGTTCTCGGCCCAGCCTTCACTTCCGCCCTCTGTCCCTCTGAGTCTAAGAGCCCTGCTCGGGGACACGGTACCGTGACTCAGCCCCGGAGCTTCTGCTGCGCACGGAGCCACTCGCTGACCCCCGTGCTGCGGGCCGGTGGCCACTGGTGACCCTCGGGGGTGGCCGGAGGCCCTGTCTGCTGCGGGCAGGGACTCCATGTCAGTTCCCCAAGGAGGGGGAGAGCACTGGCGGAGCAGCCCCCCAGAAGCACCCTGTCAGCCCGGTCAGGGGGGCTGCCCTGCATCCGGAAGGCCCCGGCGGGCTGCAGAGGGGAGGTGGGGGCGGGACAGGCTTTGAGCTCTCTGGAGAGCCAGCCAGCCCCGTGGCCAGAGAGGGGGGCCAGCGACGGCCGCCTGGAGCCCCTCGGGATGCGCCCTGCTGGTCCCACCCAGACACGGGGGCAAAGCAGGGGTCAGAGCCCAGGGAGCAGCACACGGCTAACACGTCAGCCCACCCGCGGCCCCGTGTGTGTGTGTGTCCCCTTCTCAAGTTCACGGTTGTCATTTCTGCCCGCACGTCAAGGGCCACAGGGTCTCTCTCCTTGGTAGCCGACGCTGGAACCCGCAGGTGGAGCCTCTGCTCACTGCCCTCTTTCCTCCCAGGCTTTGACCTCGTGAAGTGTGAGGACCCCGGGGTGCCCAGCTACGGCTACCGGCTCCGGGACGAAGGCCACTTCGCGGACACCACCGTCCTGTTCAGCTGCAACCCGGGCTACACCATGCACGGCAGCAGCACCCTGACCTGCCTGAGCGGCGGCCGGCGGGTGTGGGACCAGCCCTTGCCGTCCTGTGTGGGTGAGTGGGGACCCCCGCTCCCACGGCCATCCCTCCGGGGCTCCCCATGTGTCCCCAGCATTGGTGCAGGTGCTGTCAGGTAGAAACGGCCATTTTACCAGCACCGTTTCACTGAGACGATGTGCAGAGAATTGTGGGAATTCTAACTCGGGTGCCTCTCTGCTCTGCACTCCCAACTCTCATTGCTTTGAGGAGGGGCCTGTCCCTCTGGGTGACGCTGGGAGCAAGTCAAGGGAAGCGGCAGAGACTGGGGGGGCGGGTGCTGACACGTTGTGTCTCACGCATGCAATGGGTTCGGCGTTTCGTGGCCCCATCGGAGCCCGTGACGCCCAGAGTGACCGTCCCCTTGTCCCTGTGTGTCCCCTGTCTGCAGCGGAGTGCGGCGGGCAGATCCACGCGGCCACCTCGGGGCGCCTCCTGTCCCCGGGCTACCCGGCGCCCTATGACAACAACCTGCACTGCACCTGGGTCATAGAGGCGGACCCGGGGAAGACCATCAGGTGGGAGTCTCCCGTCGGCCAGAGGCCTGGGGAGGGGCGCGCCTGCCGCTGGCGCAGAGGGGTCAGGCGTCTCTCCGTCGCTCTCCAGGACCGGGGTGGGGGGAAGGCGACGGGACGGCGGCAGCAAATTTCCACTGGCTCCCGGGCTCGCACTGCGTGAGGACCACATGGGGCGGAGGAAAAGAAGGGAGAGTGCACCAGTCAGCTCCCGCTGCGTAACAAACCGGCCCCCGAGCTCAGTTGCTCCAGACAGTTCTCCGTGTGCCCACGCCTTCCCCGGTGGGCTGTCCGGGCCGGTGTGGTGTGGGCGGGGGTGGCCGGGGGGCCGGCTGGCCTCACTCAGATGCGCGGCCTCAGCCAGGTGGTCGGGGAGGAGGGAACTCTCCAGCCCAGGTCTCTGTTCCGTCAGCGGGCTGGTCGCCGAGGAAGGTCCTTCGTGGGAGGGGGTGACGTGCACACTCACATCCACTCTCATCCTATCGGCCAACGAGCCCTTCGCCGAAGCAGAGACCACGATCTCACGGGCACGCGGGGGCCTGGAGACGCCTCCCCGCCTCTCAGTGGGGGACACGTCAGGTCCCACTGGGTGGGGCTTACCTGCTGGCCGGGAGGGACGTGCGGTCATCTCGTGGGGCCCCCAGGTACGTGTGCGGTAGGCCGGGGCGGCATTCCCCCCACCCAAAGGTGCGTGGGTGACTGGCCCGCACAGGCCTGTGCAGACACTTTTAGAGAAAGTGTTCTGTTTCGGCCGAAGGGTCTGCGTTATTGGGGTAAGTTCTTAAAACCTGCTGAGTAAACCCACAAGAGTCACGTTTTTAAAGTGAGTCCTTCGTGCTCTAGTCGGGAAGCTGCGTCGAGAGCCACAGGCAGAGGAGTCACTCCCAGACAACGTGCCCCTCCCTTACAGCTCCCGGCGGACGGGGTGGGGGAGCGAGCCCCCCTCAGCAGCACCCCTAAAACCCCCTCGCTCCTCCCGAGAACTCTCCTCTGCCATGTAGTCGGCCTTGACGCCCCCCACAGCATCTGTTCCCTTCCACTCTGCCCACACCTCCCCCCGGCCCACGCCCCCAAGTCTCCAACCCTCACACCCCTCCCTTCCCACTGCGCCCACGGAGACTGAGCACCCCCGGCCCCCGGCCCCTTCCTTGCAGCCGTGACGTTGACAGGAAGCAAGAGGGGAAGCTTGTCCTGCGGCCAGCGGGCGGGCGGGCACCTGCCCAAGCTGATGCCTGTGGTCCTTCCCTGCCGGGCGCCCAGCCAACTCAGTGACACATGTGAAACAGACTCGTCGCGCTGTGACCGTGTGACTTCCCACAAAGAACACGGGAGGGGTGGAGCGAGGAGATGCACATTCTGTCCCGTGCCGCTGCGGCCCCTTCTCCTGATAGCCACCGTCGCCGGGACCGCCGGCCCCTGTTCCAACCCGGCCCCCCGTCCACGTCCACACCTTCCAGTGACCTAAACGCACACGGTGCGGTGTCCTCACTTTCACACCTGAGGGGACGGAGTCTCACGGCCTGCCAGGGGCAGAGAAGGAACTCAGAAGAAATATATATACACACACATATATTCAATGCAAAATATTATTTTATAGTATTGAACCTGGGCCGTCAATTAAGATAACTGCTTATGTATTTATTGGTGTTTCGGGACAAAAGTAAGCTTTGTTTGAGCAACAGAATGTAGGGTTCTGCATTCTTCACCAAGACAAACGCGGTCCCTTGTCCAGGGAACTAGATACAATTAAATGCCGGTTCTCCACTTCGAATTCCCGAAGGCTGATCCGTGTAACCAGAAGCCACGGCGTGGGCCTGGTTTGGAGAGAACCCTGGGGGTCACGGGACACGTGGCTCTCCGGAGACAGGGTGCACTTCCCACCCCGGCCCCTCGCGGCTCCTTTCCCGAGAGTGGGGCTGAGCGAGCGAGTGGCTCTCAACGCGGACCCGGCGAGGCTCTCCCCTGGGCAGCTGCCTCTCCTGCCTCATGAGCATGCTGATAAGGAGAGAGAAAAGAAACCAATACATGGTGAGTGAGGCACTAACAATGCATAACTTCTGCATCAGGAACTGACTTCCATATTTAACCAGCAACATGCTAGGAGGAAAGCGACCTTGTCCCACCAATTTCCTGTTCTGGGATTTTTTCTTCTTCTGTTACATATCTTTCCAATCTGAGAGTTCACCAAATCCGTTGTCCGATCTCTTTAACGTACGGCCCCGAGTCCTTCCTGGTGAGGAGGCGGGGAAGGCGGCACAGGTTTTGGTGACTCACTGCTCGGTGCTCAGTGGACACTCAGCTGCACCCCCGGGCCCCCCGGGGCTTCCCCTCGTGGACGGCCTGGAGGCTGGGCCTGAGCACGTTGGTTTGGGGAACGGCGTGCAGAAAGGCGCATGACACAGTGCTGCAGGCTCCAAGCGGCACCGATGCTGGGAAAAAAAAAAACCGGGTCTAGTCTTGGCTTCGGCATCTGTTGCCTAGGTTACTGAGGCTTGGTCACTCAGTGGTGAGAAAGCCAACACATTACTTCCGCTCTTTGCTTGGAAATGAGGAATCTGTCCTTTGTGTAATCAGGAGTCCAGGGACTGAGGTACTAAACATTCCGAATATAAACAGAATTCATTATTACACATTCGCACTATGACTTTTTGGTTTTTACTGTAAATGTTTTTTTCTCTTAAAACCATGAAGAAGCACCAGGACCCCGTGCAGGTGACGGACGGGCCGGCTCCCGCATGTCGGTCTCTCCCTCCCGGCCGACCTCGGTGTCACTGAGGCCCGGAGCAATTTCCGGGTGTGTTTTCCTGTAACTTTTTTTTTAAAGATTTTATTTATTTATTTTTAGAGAGGGAAGGGAGGGAGAAAGAGAGAGAGAGAGAGAAACATCCATGTGCGGTTGCTGGGGGTCATGGCCTGCAACCCAGGCATGTGCCCTGACTGGGAATCGAACCTGCGACACTTTGGTTCCCAGGCCGCACTCAATCCACTGAGCTACACTTGCCAGGGCGTTTTCCTGTAACTTTTTACTCAAGGTAACGGGAGACCCCACAATGCTTGTTGCGGGGCACTGGGGTCTGGGAGGAGTTCGCAGCGTTCACACTGAGGCTGCAAAGCGGTCACCCGAGCAGGAGGTAGTTAAAACCGACGCAGTCCTCTGGCCTCATCAGGAATCACACCTGCAGGCCCCCCTGGGACCGGCCCGGCCCCTGCTGGGCGCGCCTGTGGCCGACCCAACGGCGCGAGGGCGTCAACTCGAATAACTGTGCGTGCGTGTCGCCCCCGGTCCTGGTGGCTCCTCGGCAAGCTGGGCCGTCTGGGCAACGGAGGGGGAATGTCTTTCCGCTTGTGGTCCAGACGCAGCCTCAGGAGGCCGGCCGAGGGGAAGGCTGTGGAAGGGTTCACGTGGCCCCCAAACACCACAGGCCTGCACCTGCAGGTCGCAGTGGTCTCTCTGCGCAGACGTAGACAGTGATGAGAGGGCGGGCCCTGGTGCCCCCGGGGTGGGGTGGGGCGGCTGAGTTTGTTCCTGGCCCCGAGGGTCTGTAGCGAGACAGTGCGATCCGGCTCGGAGAGCTAGGCGTGCTCTCGTTTACGCTGACCACACGTCCAGGTCCCTGTGAGGGAGCGCCAGCCAGTGTGCTCCTTGTGGGGCGTCCTCACGGTCTCCGTGCGGAGCCTCCGGCCAGCCCACGCCGGCGCCCGCGTCCCAGGCAGGCTGGGCCAGGCACCAAAGCCTCCCAGCCTCCCTGCTCCCACCGCAGCCGGGAGGGGGCGTCCCCTGCCTTCCTGCACGGATGAGGGAGTCCCCAGGGAGAGGCGTCCAGCCGTCAGAAGACAGGGAGCGGTAGCAGCAGGCAGTCCGCCCGAGCCCACGGCTGGACTCCAGCCCCTCTGTGGCTGCAGGGCCCACCGCTGGGCTCGGGGCCCCTACCCAGCCACGCAGCACCGTGAGCGAGAGGGGCTGACATGCATGGTCTCACTGACACCAGTCCCCCAAGCACCCGTGACATTGTGGTCACCCTGGTGGATGAGCTGGGAGAGACCGTGGGGGGGACCAGCTGGCCCTAGGCCTCCGGATCCCGAGTCCCCGCCCGTCACAGACAAACACCCCAGGCCCTGGCTGTGCCCGCGTCTTCCCCTGAAGCCCCATCACGGGTCACTGCGGCTCACGCACGGACAGCAGCGTCACCTCCCTGTCCACCGGGCAGAAACCCAGGTGACGCTTCGTACACAGGGGCAGTGACCAGGGGAGCTGGCACGAGGGGGGGAGCGGGGGAAGTGCTGGCCTTGGAAATGACACCGGAATTACGGTGACGTTGGTTCGCAGCAGGACGGCGGATGGGGACCTGGGCGTCCCCTCCCTTCCGTCCCAGGACACGGCCAGCCCCCAGACGCCCAGGCCCCACGGCGTCCTGCTCGGGTCCCTGTGTCTCCCGGCCCGGTTCCGCCCCACGGCCCTGGTCTGCTGGCGCCGGTGGCCCTCCTGGGGGACTTGCACTTTCAGTATGAACTTCACTTCTCCTCTCCCCGTCCCCAACCTCCGACCTTTGCTGACTCAGGAGAAGCCGGGATCCCATCGCGTGCACTGCAGGGTCCTCAGGGCGGACGGCCTTCCCTCCCCCCGGAGAGGCAGCGGGAGGAACCAGCAGCCTGTGACAGCCCAGCTCAGGGCTCCGGGCTAATCTCTGCTCCCGCCTTATCTGCCGCTCCCAGCCGGGGCGCCCCTCCCTGCCCCCCAACCTTAATCTTCTCCCGAGTGACCTTTCCAGGTCCACCCTCCGCCTTCTCCCGCTCTCTGAGCCCCTGCAGACCTGCCCGCCGGGCTCCCTGCTGGGGCGTCACACCCCCCCTCCGGGTCCCCCTGGCGGAGCCCTGGGGGTTTATCTGCGGTGCCCGCCTGCACACGCTCTGTGTCGGCGCAGAGACGTGCCCACCCCTCTGGACCCGTCCTCCCCGGTTTCTCCTCGCTGCCCCCCCTCCAGCTCCCCACCTTCTCCCCGCTGGCCCCCCCTCCAGCTCCCCCCTCTTCTCCCCGCTGCCCCCCCAGCTCCCCCCTCTTCTGGGACTCAGTAGTGAACAGGTCAGCCCCCCAGCAGAAGCGCCCTCTCACTATCCCGTCTGGAAGGCAGGTGTCATCTTCCCTGGACACCACCCCCATCCCGGGGACACAGCTCTCTGCCTCCTGAGCCGGGGCTCTGTGGTGGCCACGCCACATGTCCAGAGGCCCAGGGCACCCCTCCGGCCCCCGGGCCCCCGTCCCCCCACGCTACCCTGGTCCCTGCTTCTCCGGACCTCTTCCCCGGAAGCCTTCCCTCCCCACTCCGCCGGCGCCCGCCCCACTGCCCCTCCCTGTGCCCACCCCCACCCCCCCACGTCACCAGCCTGCCGACTGAGTGTCCTGCACGGGCACTCTGGTCCGCCACCCCCACCCTGGGGGGCAGCCTTATGCTTTTTTTTTTAAGATTTTATTTATTTATTTTTAGAGAGGGAAGGGAGGGAGAAAGAGAGAGAGAGACATCAATGTGCGGTTGCTGGGGCTGTGGCAGGCAACCCAGGCATGTGCCCTGACTGGGAATCAAACCTGCGATGCTTTGGTTCGCAGCCCGCGCTCAATCCACTGAGCTACACCAGCCAGGCAGCCTTATGCTTCTTCATTAAAAAATCATTTTAGGCCCCCGCTGGGTGGCTCAGTCGGTTGGAGTGTCACCCCGTGCACCAGAGGGCTGTGGCTTCACCCCACCCCCGTCAGGGAACATGCCTAGGTTGCAGGTTCCATCCCTGGTGGGGGCACGAACGGGGGGGGAGGGGCAGCTGAGCGATCGGTGTTTCTCTGTCACATGATGCTTCTCGCTCCGAGTTTTGTTCGTGTCCTGAGACTTTTTCCAAAGCGGCACAACTCGGGGCAGCAGGTGTGTGTGTGCGCGCGTGTGGGTAGGCTTCTCGCTGACCTGTGACATGCGTGTGCACGGCCCATCCTCCGTACAGCAGCCCGCCTGACCAGAAGCAGGGCGCCCTCTGGGCTCCGCCCACAGCCCGTCTCCTTGACGACGACCCCCGCCCTGGCTTCCCGACCGTGGGCCGCTTTGACCGTCTCCTGAGTGGACCTGTGCCGTGAGGTCGTTCCGCGTCTTCGTTCCCTCGGCCGCACTCCCAGTGGCACAGCGGGCTATCCCCGGGGCAGTGCACCGGTCCCTGCCGGGCGTGGGCGGACGCGCGGACACTTGAGCCCACTCTGGGGACGCTGCAGGCGGTGCTGCCAGCTGCGGGTTTGAGAATCACGCGGGGAAGGCGTGCGTTCCTCTCGGGCACGCACCCAGCACCGCGGAGCTGCGGGTGGCGCGGGCCCTTCCTGCGGCCACGGCGGGTGCTGTCGCAGCGTCCCAGGCGCTGGCCCCGGGCGCACGCCCGTCCCAGTGCCGGCGATTTCCGGGTGCCACCTCCCAATGGCACGTGGCCGGGGCTGTGGTCTCCCCGTGAGCCGGGCGGGCGGGCGGGGTCTGCGAGTTTCCAGTGACTGACCGCCGCCGGCGCCCCCTGCAGGCTGACTGGCCTGGGAGCATCCTCTCTGATGAACTCACTGTGTTGCCTGCACTGGGCTGCCTTCCACTTCTGATTCGCGCAAAAGTTTTGCACACCTGTGTGCAGTCTTTCGTGGATTATATACAACACTTATAACACTTACATATAATAAATAACACACATAATACAAGAATATAGAACATCTTCTTATACTCTGCGGTCAGCCCTTTCAGTCTCCGAATGATGTCTTTCGATGCACGCAGACTCTTAATTGCAGTGAGTCCAATTTATTCTGACACATTTTCTCTTACAGTTTGTGGGTCTCTTATTGGCACTTATAGTAGGTAGCACCGAATGTTTTGTTGAGAATGCTCTGAGTGTTCTTGTGTCCAGATTTAAAAAAACAAAACAAAACAAAACAAAACAACTCTTGCCTCCCCAAAGTTGTAGCAACATTATCGTAGGTTTGTTTTTTTTTAATGGAAGATTTATTTTACCTTCTTCATCTATGTGTCCAATCCGTCTGGAAGTAACTTTTGTGTGTGATATGAGGAAGAGTCAAGGAATCTTATTTTGTCCAGGGTAAAGTTTAATTGTCCATTCGTTGAGAAGTCAGTTTTCTCTGCACTACCCTCTGACCTTTCCCAGAGAGAATTCCATATACTTCGGTCCATTTCTCAACTTAATTCCGTGGATCGATTTGTCCATCCGGCATGGTGTCCTTCTATATTTATTACTTAATTACGTTCCCACAAGCCCTGGAACCCCGTACCATGACGCTCCTGCGCTGATCTTTCCCACTGGGCTGCCAGGGCCGTTCTCGGCCCCTTGCGTTTCCACGTGCGTTCCACAGACACTCGTTCCTTTCTGCAGAAGGACCTGCTAGGGCCTCTGCTGGAACCACGCTGCTCCAGTGGGTGAACCTGAGGTAAACTGAAGCCGACTGCAACACCGCACCGGCAGACCCCTGGCCGGTGCATCGTCCGGTTTGCTGAGACCTTACGCAGTTTGTCTCGACGTTGCGTGTGGTTTTCTGGGCAGAGGACTCGGAAGCCACGGAATTACTCTTCACCACTGCGTGCTTCCTGACAGCAATGCAAATAGTCCTTTTCGTTCCATCTCCTGTTTGTGGCTGCCCCCAACGTGACACTTTTCAGGGTGGAGGAAGTTCACATACTGCCGAGTACAAAAAGCAGCTGGGAAATGAGACCAGCGCACACCAGCACGACATCCATTATGGGTGATTATTGTGAGACACACACACGAGGCTGCACCCCGCGTGGGGAGAGCAGGAGCGCACGCCGGTCTGAACATCGTCAAAACACGAGTGGAACTGCCCCTCTCCGTGTCAGGGGGCGAGTGGCAGGGAGGGCAGAGGGCTCAGTGGGGAGGGGTCTGGCTGTACCTGCAGGGTTTTATTCTTTAGAAGGATCTGAAGCAGACGGGGTGGAGTGTTAGCGCGGGGGGGGGGGGCATGCTTGTGTGTGCTGTACTCTGCTCTTCTCTCCATAGTGAAAAGATTTCACGTTGAACATTTTAAAGTAAACTGTCTATTTTATACTTTATGCAGGCCCAGATAGGTATTTTTGAGTACGTAATGCACACAAAATAGCCAGTTAAGGTTTACGTACAGGTTTTTGTATGCCGCCTACCCTGATTTTTTAATCTCCCTTACGATTTTGTGCGTGGAGCAGTAAATAAAAAACCTAGAAATCGGCACACACAGGAGGCGCAGGTCTGGGCTGGTGCCTCGGCTCCCCCCGATCTACTCCGGTTGCCGTAAACAGGACCCGAGGTCTGCTGCCTCCTCCGCAAGGCGCTTCCTCAGTCGGTGATTTCTACGTTGCTCCAGAAAATATCTGCAAATCTAATAAAAGTGTTTTAAATTTCATAAAGGAAGGAGTGTACATTACACATCTCCTCCTCTGTGTTAGAAGTCTTTCACGTTCTGTGGAGGGAAGCGTTTACAGTTTACACTTCCTCCCTGGCGTCGGTATTTCAAATAACTGCATTTTTCTGAAAGTGGAATTGATAGAAGCAAATGCAACACGAGAGCCCATCAGAGAGGCAGGCGAGCACATTCCGGCCCGCAGGGCCGCCTCCGCCTTTTCTCCGGCGCGCACGCTGCCACCTCGTGGGCGTCGCGAGAACAACAGCGGCACACAGTTACAACCTGCCCCTGTGAACTTAAAGCAAAGCCCCGCCGCACTCGACCTTGAGGTGTGTGCGGGGAAAGCTTTGCACGACGGAAAGAGCCCGCAGCCTCCAAAGGCACTGTTTCACCCCTGGAAGGGGCTCGGCGCAGGCCTCGGTAGGTGGTTCTGCGGAAGGCGGGTGTCCCCTCGGCTTGCGCAGGTGCGCTGAGGGCCCTGCGGCTCGGCCCCCACCCACGGGTCAGGTCGCAGACAGGCGCTCGTGGGCGGGGGTAAGCCAGCGCCACGAGCCCGTGTGCTGGCGTGTGCTTCGGCGTCCTCGCGGGGACGCGAGGTGACCCTCGCGAGCTGTGCTCTCTCTGCAGCCTGCACTTCATCGTGTTCGACACGGAGACCAACCACGACATCCTGAAGGTGTGGGACGGGCCCCTGGAGAGCGACGTGCTGCTGCAGGAGTGGAGCGGCTCGGCGCTGCCCGGGGACATCCACAGCACCTTCAACTCGCTCACGCTGCAGTTCGACAGCGACTTCTTCATCAGCAAGTCCGGCTTCTCCGTGCAGTTCTCCAGTAAGTGCGCCCGCCACGCCCCTCGCTGTGCCCCACCCTCGCCACGCCCCTCGCCCCGCCCCGCGCTGTGCCCCGCCCCTGCCCCGCCCATCGCTGCGTCACGCCCTCGCCACGCCCTCGCTGTGCCCCGCCCCGCCCCTCGCTGTGTCCCGCCACGCCCCTCGCCACGCCCACCCCTGTCACGCCCCTCGCTGTGCCACGCCCTCGCCACGCCCCTCGCTGTGCTCCACCCCTACCCCGCGCCTGCCCCGCCCTGCCTCGCCCCGCCCCGTCCAGCGCCACGCCCCGCCCCCCCAGCCTCAGGGTCCTTCCTGGGTGTCACAGCCAGAAGACACTTTCTTAGGGCACTTCTGCGTTAATCCGCAATGTCAGCGCTTTCCTTCGTCCCACGTCGTTCGCCCACTGCCTTCGCTATCCGGCTAA